TTGTTTTTGTTATGTTTGTTTTGCCCTGTTCTTCTTTGTAAAGTGACTTTGGGTCTCATGAAAGGCGCTATATAAATTCAAGCTATTATTATTATTATTATTAAAGAAGAAGCATGTGAGTGGACGGGTGTAGATGTTTTGTCATCTTGCATGATGTTGTACCAAATATTGGGGAGGGGAGGTTTAGGTTGAATGTGGTAATTCATGATTGTTGGCATCACACGGAAAATGATTTGCCATTCAGCATATTGCACTGCGTAATATTGCGTAATGTAATCAGCCAATGAAAGCTGTAGAAGGATTCCTTACATTATTACCACTTTCATTTAAATGTATATTTTCTTCTTCAAAGCCATGAGGTGTTTGTTAATAATAAAGTAAGTCGACTGAGGCAATGATGGCTCTTTTCTCTCTCTGTATTTGGCTGGTGTAGCTTGGTTCTGCAATTGTCAAAAATCTGACTTAATTATCCAAGCTTGAGCTCTTCAGATTGGAACATCTGATCCTAATGAGGAGTGTAAAGCTTTCCTCCTCTCTGATTGGATGTGACAGGAACAAGATAGCATGAACATGACATGGCCAGAGAATAATTGCAAGTAAGTTATCTTTTCTGGTTATAAACTTCAAAGTACTAATTTCCATATTACTGAACGGACATGCAACCAATTTGTTGCGTTCTCCTGAAAGATGCCTTATTCAGATAAGGTCAACTTTATACAGGAAACACATAAAAGCCTGGAATTTACCATCCAGTAGTGACCCTTTAAGTTTAAGGGTTCACTTTTCCTTGGGAGGCTGTGGCTCAGGAAGCAGTGGGTGATCACCAATCTGAAGGTTGTGTGTAAATCTTTAGTTCTTCAAATGAGCAGGTGGCACCTTGTGTGGTACCAGGGCATGAGCTTTTCTTGTGGCTGCGCTATTGGTTTTAAACATGTTTGATTTTGGAGATGTAAGATCTTGATGATTACATTCGTTCTTTCAGAGCATGACTAAACAGCTAGTGAGTGCCAAGCTGAGCGGCTACAGTGTTTCCAAGCTAACTCATTTTGAAAGGATTTAAACTGACATTTTAAATCTGACCTCCAGTTGCCGCTGTAAAATGTTGACCTCCAAATGTTCTGGCCCAGACTTTTGCTTTCCTTTATCTCACTAGAAAGCATTACAGCAAGTTGTTGCACAGTAAGTCCCCACCTTTTTAACATCTGATACCCAATGAGATCAGGTGATTCCTACATTTCTAATCTAAAAGTGTGTGCATGTTTAAGATAAGAGAGAATACCATTGTGTCTTTACTGAAGACATGAGCATTGGAAGTCTAATGTACCTGATCAGCATGAGCCTAGCCCCCCCCCCCAAAGATTATGAACTCCATGACTGAACTGAACACATACATTGCAATTGATTGCATGTTAACAAGGCTGGAGGTTTCACTCTGTGCTCACTGAACTAGGATTACAGTGTTTAACGTTGTGCTCTGGAAAGACATCCCACTGTTCCAACCGAAAAATAAATAAAAAGTGGCAAATCTACACTCACAGTGAGTGCTGACTTCAATCTAAAATTGTAACGATAACAAGACCCCGTAGTCAGAAACAAGCCCCATAATTTCTATTCTTGACTCGGTGTGTACAGTTATTGTACAGTAATTTGATTTTACACATCAATTTAAAGACGTGCAATTTTTGACACAACAGTACTGGCATAATAAAGTTCTAAAAACTAGCATACTTATCAAATTTGATATTATGCGTAAGTAGAGCATTTTCACACATTGTTAATAGCACTACCTGTAAGTGCTATCTGACCTCTGCTGCTAATTCAGAATGCAGCAGCTCGACCTGTTTCAAGCTTTTTATTGTTCTCCCACAATGCACCGCTCCTCCTCTCCCTTTACTGGTTGCCTGAGTCCTCTTCCATACACTGGAGCTGCCCTGCTACCATGCTGTGAAGGGAACCGGTCCTTAAGTCCAGAACATGGTCAAACCATTCCAGCATGAACACTTTGCTCTTCATCAGCCAATCAGCTTGCTACTGCCTCTCTGCGAGGTGACAGAGGTGCTAAACTTAAATCAACTCAAACATGCCTGTTTTCTATCGTGGCTCTAAATTGGTGGAACGAGCCACACCATTGACATCAGGAGAGTCTACATATATTCTGTCACAAGCTGAAAACCCACCTGTATTGCTTGTACCTTGGCCGATGAATAAAAGAAAACAAGGAAGCTCTTAAGAGTTGAATTAATTCCCCAGCACTTACAAGTTGACCCACAGTAGGTCTTGAGTTCTTGGGCCTCCAGAGGAGCGCTTTTCTCTCCTCAGCATGCAGTGTATGCATGTCGCTCTCTCTGCACCCTCCACGATGAAACACTGACAGAAATCTGAAACTGAGAAGCACTATCAGTGAAAACCAACTGTCAAGGCTTACAAAATAAATTCACTGGCAACAATAGTATTTCTGTGTTTCTGTGTTTGACGTTTGGCCACAGGACAACAGCTCACTTTCATTAGTGTGTGTGTGTGTGTGTGTGTGTGTGTGTGTGTGTGTGTGTGTGTGTGTGTGTGTGTGTGTGTGTGTGTGTGTGTGTGTGTGTGTGTGTGTGTGTGTGTGTGTGTGTGTCCTCCCAGCAGTAGAGCGTATTTTATTGGAGTTAACACTAAGGTCAAATAAAGCAGATTTATTTCTACGGATTACTAGCACTCTTCTAGCCAGTCCATAAAACAGAAACCAATCAC